CTGAACCTGAATATATACATATAACTTCACAGGTCCCGGCACATTCTTGCCGTTCACCAGCAGCAGCGACCAGATCAGCACCAAGGATTTACCGTGCCGGACCCCTCAGACCTTCAAAAATGGGGTACGTACCCGTGTCTGAGAACACATGGAGTGCTGGTAGGAGGAGCTTTGTGCCAGGCGGGGGAGGGGTATATGGTGCCGTATACTCCGCCTTGGTATGGACGTGTCCTCTATATACTCTTCAGTTTGGGGCTGCAAATTGTGGAAGTGGAGAGAGGGAAGGGGCACGGAGGAACTCGCCCCTGAGAAGATCTGACCGGGGGGTATTATCAGCTCCTGTGAATACATCAATTCAGGGCCACCATCAGAAATCATGGGGCCCCGTACATCCTACCTGATGGGGGGGGCCCCGTACATCCTACCTGACGGGGGCCCCCCACTAGTTAGCAGTGAGGAAGCACAGTAAATCCAGGTAGGACACGATGTGATCGCAGTCCTGGACGGTGGGCGGGCTCTTGGGAGGAGTTATGCAAATATCCAAATACCTTAAAGGGCGGTTGTCAGTCTGGAGGAGTGGGCGTTCCTAGGCAGGTTGTATTTGCATACAGACCGCCCCCTAGGTGACGCCCACATGGGACGCTGAGCCTCCATGATTGAAAGAACTGGAATCCAATGAATGAAAGAGGCGGGGCTAGGGCACAGTCAGGCTGGGGAGGAAAGGGCTAGATGAATCTGTCCCTAAATTGTGTTAAATGAAAAATAACGAGAGAGTAACAAACATATGTGTGAGGAGGAGGATGAGGATGAGGATGATGAGGAGGAGGAGGAGGAGGAGGAGGAGGATGAGGAGGAGGATGAGGAGGAGGATGAGGAGGGGTAGATGTAATATATGGTAGTGCTGTGTATGTCCAGCTGACGGTCATTGTGTCCTGTGTTTCAGGAGGAGGAGGATGAGGATGACGAGTACGATGAGCTGGATGACGCCTTCACAAGGTTGGTGATATTCTGTTTCAGTAACAATGTTAAACTTGGATGTATACTGATAGAGGGGGACCCGTGTTCCGGGATCCGTGTTCCGTTATCCGTGTTCCGTTATCCGTGTTCCGGGATCCGTGTTCCGGGATCCGTGTTCCGGGATCCGTCTTCCGGGATCCGTGTTCCATTATCCGTGTTCCGTTATCCGTGTTCCGGGATCCGTGTTCCGTTATCCGGGATCAGTGTTCCAGGATCCGTGTTCCGGGATCCATACATGATCCGGCAGAGCACACTTCTATACACACAATGTAGGAAGGAGTATCATACGGATCCGGAGAGGCGCAATGATCCGGTGTACGGGAAACAATGGGTGGCAGATCCGGTGTTGGGGGAGGGGATGGACGTGGCGCCATTCACATCTCTGAGCTTCCTGAACCCCCATAACCTGACCCATGAGATATTCATTGTCAGAGATTTGGGTTCCTCCGTCCAGAACAAGGCCGAGAGCCTGCAGAATAGGGTGAGGGGGTAAGGAATATGGCCAACACTACATGGACCCCCCCCCTTCCCTCACATGATGGGGTTCAGGGGCGGTCTCCTGGGATGGGGGGATCTCCTGGGATGGGGGGATCTCCTGGGATGGGGGGATCTCCTGGGATGGGGGGATCTCCTGGGATGGGGGGATCTCCTGGGATGGGGGGATCTCCTGGGATGGGGGGATCTCCTGGGATGGGGGGATCTCCTGGGATGGGGGGATCTCCTGGGATGGGGGGATCTCCTGGGATGGGGGGATCTCCTGGGATGGGGGGATCTCCTGGGATGGGGGGATCTCCTGGGATGGGGGGATCTCCTGGGATGGGGGGATCTCCTGGGATGGGGGGATCTCCTGGGATGGGGGGATCTCCTGGGATGGGGGGATCTCCTGGGATGGGGGGATCTCCTGGGATGGGGGGATCTCCTGGGATGGGGGGATCTCCTGGGATGGGGGGATCTCCTGGGATGGGGGGATCTCCTGGGATGGGGGGATCTCCTGGGATGGGGGGATCTCCTGGGATGGGGGGATCTCCTGGGATGGGGGGATCTCCTGGGATGGGGGGATCTCCTGGGATGGGGGGATCTCCTGGGATGGGGGGATCTCCTGGGATGGGGGGATCTCCTGGGATGGGGGGATCTCCTGGGATGGGGGGATCTCCTGGGATGGGGGGATCTCCTGGGATGGGGGGATCTCCTGGGATGGGGGGATCTCCTGGGATGGGGGGATCTCCTGGGATGGGGGGATCTCCTGGGATGGGGGGATCTCCTGGGATGGGGGGATCTCCTGGGATGGGGGGATCTCCTGGGATGGGGGGATCTCCTGGGATGGGGGGATCTCCTGGGATGGGGGGATCTCCTGGGATGGGGGGATCTCCTGGGATGGGGGGATCTCCTGGGATGGGGGGATCTCCTGGGATGGGGGGATCTCCTGGGATGGGGGGATCTCCTGGGATGGGGGGATCTCCTGGGATGGGGGGATCTCCTGGGATGGGGGGATCTCCTGGGATGGGGGGATCTCCTGGGATGGGGGGATCTCCTGGGATGGGGGGATCTCCTGGGATGGGGGGATCTCCTGGGATGGGGGGATCTCCTGGGATGGGGGGATCTCCTGGGATGGGGGGATCTCCTGGGATGGGGGGATCTCCTGGGATGGGGGGATCTCCTGGGATGGGGGGATCTCCTGGGATGGGGGGATCTCCTGGGATGGGGGGATCTCCTGGGATGGGGGGATCTCCTGGGATGGGGGGATCTCCTGGGATGGGGGGATCTCCTGGGATGGGGGGATCTCCTGGGATGGGGGGATCTCCTGGGATGGGGGGATCTCCTGGGATGGGGGGATCTCCTGGGATGGGGGGATCTCCTGGGATGGGGGGATCTCCTGGGATGGGGGGATCTCCTGGGATGGGGGGATCTCCTGGGATGGGGGGATCTCCTGGGATGGGGGGATCTCCTGGGATGGGGGGATCTCCTGGGATGGGGGGATCTCCTGGGATGGGGGGATCTCCTGGGATGGGGGGATCTCCTGGGATGGGGGGATCTCCTGGGATGGGGGGATCTCCTGGGATGGGGGGATCTCCTGGGATGGGGGGATCTCCTGGGATGGGGGGATCTCCTGGGATGGGGGGATCTCCTGGGATGGGGGGATCTCCTGGGATGGGGGGATCTCCTGGGATGGGGGGATCTCCTGGGATGGGGGGATCTCCTGGGATGGGGGGATCTCCTGGGATGGGGGGATCTCCTGGGATGGGGGGATCTCCTGGGATGGGGGGATCTCCTGGGATGGGGGGATCTCCTGGGATGGGGGGATCTCCTGGGATGGGGTGCAGGGGACTGAAAGGGGTCCAAACCCTTCACCAAGCGGCCGGCATGAGACTCCCGGGGCCGAAGTGTAATGTGAATCATTATGGTGACCTGACTGTCATGTCTGTCCTCTCTCTTTCTTTCCCTAAAGCTGCTTCATGGATGACGGCGGAGCGCACAGGATGGGTAATGAGATGCATGCCGTGCGTTCTGCTCGCTCATCAATTCTCACCTGGAGGTCACAAAAGTCTCTGTGCTTAGGTTTCCCCCAGAACCATAACACCAGCCGAACTGTGCTGTGACCTCTCCCTGAACCATGACCCCAGCCGAACTGTGCTGTGACCTCTCCCTAAGCCTTAACACCAGCCGTACTGTGCTGTGACCTCTCCCTGATCCATAACACCAGCCGTACTGTGCTGTGACCTCTCCCTGATCCATAACACCAGCCGTACTGTGCTGTGACCTCTCCCTATCCTTCCGGCAGACTGGCAGAGCGCATCGGGCGGCACGTGGGATCCGCAGAGGCTGTGACCTGAGCACCCCGAAACCATCACTCTGATGTCACCCTAAATCATCCTAATGTAATCCCGGGGACTCAGTACCTTGGTCACGCACAGTCCCTGTGTCCCCCTTCCCGGGACAGGAGGCCGTCACCTTCATTGTTGTCACCAGAGTTTAGTCTTCACGTCATCTATTCATGGCCGCTGTTCTGGGGGCGGGGGTCACCATTCACACTCCCAGAGTCTCCATTGGTGTGTGGTCACCACCCCAATTTCAGGATCCAGAGTCCTACTATCTGTCCGACCTCCGACATCCCACCGAGGAGTAGATCAACAACTCCATCTCTACCCTGCCTGCCTACAAGAGGTTGTTCAGCCCCAAAGTCCGGGAATCTTCCAGGTCACAAGCTTCTCGGGACCCGCTGAGGCAAAGACAACTTCCGGGCCTGTGAGGGGAAACCAAACCAGACACTTTACCTTGTAGGCGGCCACACGAGTATGAGGATTTATCGGCTCTTCTACCATATACAGCAGTTGTCTCCTCAAAGATCCCCCCCCTCTCTCATTGAAACTTCCATCAGAGCTGTAGAGAGGATGGGGAGGAGTCATCCAGTTGAGGGTGTAAGTTTTCCTTTTGGCCAATTCATAGTTCTGCTATAGATACGAAACCACTAAACCTTCCCCTTACGTCTACCCGATCCCAGCTCTCCGGGATGTCCCCACCATCTACAAAGCATCTGTCCGCCATACCTGGAGGGGATCTGAAGAGTCAGGGGCTGTTCTCCAAGCATGGAAGCCTCTAGGAGAGAAGTCATGGTGCATCCGGACAGGGCGCTGAACCCGGAACATATAATACAGGAAGGTCTGCGCTTGGCTTTGCTTTAATAACGGTTCCTCTACCAGATCTCACAATGTACTACCGTGATCAGCGAGACCTCCAGCTCTGATACCCCGTCCATCAAGACCTCATGTCATGTACACTGAGAGGATCCTCCAACAAGGTTTCAACATGTACTACCAATATTGGTGAGACCTTCACCAGCTCTGGTCTGTGGTCCATCAAGATCATATGACACGTACATACAGATGGTCTCCCAACAAGGACTGAAGATGTACTACTAATATTGGTGAGACCTTCAAGATCTGTGGTCCATCGGGATCAGACCTGTTCATAGAGATGCTCCCCCAACAAGGACTGGAGATGTACTACCAATATTGGTGAGACCTTCACCAGCTCCGGTCTGTGGTCCATCAAGATCTCATGTTATGTACACAGAGTGGATCCACCATAAGGGTTCAAGATGTACTACCAATATTGGTGAGATCTTCACCATCTCTGGTCTGTGGTCCATCAAGATCTCATGATATATACATACAGATGGCGCTCTAAAAGGACTAAGATGTACTACCGTGACCATTGAGGTCTTCACCTGCTCTGGTCTGTGGTCCATTATGATGACATGACATGTACATACAGATGGTCCTCCAACAAGGACTCAAGATATACTACCAATATTGGGGAGACCTTCACCATCTGTGGTCCATCGAGATCCAACAAGGACTGGAGATGTACTACCAATATTGGTGAGATCTTCACCATCTGTGGTCCAGCGGGATCAGAGCTGTACATACAGGTGGTCCTCCAATAAAGACTCAAGATGTACTACCATTGTTGGTGAGACCCTCAAGATCTCCGGTCTGTGGTCCAGATCTTATGACTTCTATATACAGAGGGTTCTCCAGCAAGAGCTACAACTGTCCTTATCAACCAGATCTGCACAGCCCATCCCCCCCCCCCCGGCTCTTGTATTGGCGTGGTGACACTTGCACTGACCTCTGTCTGATCTCTGGATCTGGTGCCGCGGCGGCCATCGCTCGCTCAGACTTTTTTGAGGAATTCGCAATTCTTGAAACATAAATGAGGAGATACAGGGAATACTTTGCACTTTTTTTTATACCTGTCACCATTGTGAATGGGTGAGCGTGGATGACGATGTCCAGCCGCGGGAGGAACCTTAGAAGTTCTGGCCATGATGGGTCCTCCTTGCGCTGGTTTTATCCAGGAGGACCGGAAGACGCGGCAGGGACCCCCCATGGGAGGAACCGGCTGACCGTAGATCCTAAAACGTGTCCTGCCGTCTGCTGCTGTCCGATCTTTGTATAGTAACAGCGAATTGTCACCTCGCAGGAAATGCGGAAGAGCGAAGTTATTGTATCCGCGTCATAGATTGCGGCTTACGTGTCCTCAGACGTGGCGGCTTACATGTCCTTAGACGTGGCGGCTTACGTGTCCTCAGACGTGGCGGCTGCATTTGGGGTTTTTTTCAGGCTGAGAACATTTTCAGCAAAACAGAGAAAAACTTGATCCTGCCAGAAATACCGTGTCCCTGTTACTTCCTGTAATGCTGAAAAGAAAGCGCCAACATCCTTTTATAGTTGTTGCATAATCCCATCGCTCCACCGACCACAGGCAGACAGGTGTGACGTCCAGCCTGTGCGACAACCGTGGCTGCCTCCGTAGATACAATGGAGAAATGAGCGTAGACACAAAGAGAAGCGCGTTAAAGCTTTACCCTCCAAAATCTACCGATGCGTCCCTCCATGTCCAGGCCCGGACTCCCCACAAGGCCACCGAGGCCCGGGGCGGCAGGGCGCAGAGGGGCGGCCGCGGTGTCCTTGTGGGGAAGCGTCGGGCGGTAAGTTGCTTTGCACAAGCCGAGCTACATGTAGAGTGAGGCGGCCGAAGGTTCGTTTACATGTGAATTCCGCGATGTCACCCAGATCACATGTAAACAGTGTGCAGCCCCCTCCCCCCTGCACTTACCTCTCCCCTCCCCCCCCTGCACTTACCTCTCTAAAATAAGATTAAAAAAATTGTAAATAAGATATAAATAAAAATCTAAAAAAAAATGACATTGATAAAATAAATAAATAAAAAAAGTAAAGAAACCGTAAAAAATATAAACTAACCCCCCCGCCGCCCTGCCATCTGGTTGCCATTCTCCATTGATGGGACCGGGGGAGGGGGGGCGTATTGCGGAACCTGGCCTTGGGGCGGCAGGGAGAGTAAATCCGGCTCTGCCTATGTATGATGATTAATAAGAACAGACATGTCAGGTGACTGTAGACTTGCAGTCACTTCCTGCTATGAAAGGGTAAAAAGACTTCAGTTTGGGAAAGCGTTGCATGCTGGGAAGGTGACATCAGCCGAGCATTGCTGGGAAATCTCATCTGTAATCTCAGGAGATATCAGGGAAAGGCATTTTCCTCCCCTGAGATGATGTGCATGGTCACATGTGCCAGAGATCCAGGAAGTAAAAGGAGAGCTAGTCATCTGCCCTTAGTAAACATGGCCGCTGTGAGAGGACTGGGGAAGGAAAAAGAATACAAAGCCGGAATGATCTAGATCATCGGTTCTCAACCTGTGTAACCTTCGGGACCCACATTTGTCCTCGGTCATTAAGTCGCGACCCATGTTCCATGTTGCGGTACTGCGCCTTTCCGGTGCAGGCGATCAAACTCTGGGTGTGAGGTGCGTTTGGGTTGCCATTACTGGAGTGTGTCCTCATCCTGGGGTCCAGTGTGGGCGGCTGTGCTGTGATGGAGCTCCATCCATATGTGCAGTGCTGGTACAGCTCCCTTGTGCGCCCTGTAGAGGTTCCCGGGAGCCGGAATGTGATGAGCTGTGAGCAATGCACGTATGGATGGAGCTCCCTCGCGGCCTTAGCCCCGCCCCCCCCACCTCTAGTCGACACTCGGCGCCGGGCGTCATATTCTGAATGGCTGCTCGCTGCAAGAACTGACGGTGCTTCTCTAGGGGGAGGAGCCTCTCGCCTAGAAAAGTGGAAGGCGGCCCATTGGACATGGGGGCGTGACCCACCGGTTGAGAACCAAGGGTCTGTGATTGGTAGATTGTCATCATTTCTGGAGATGAGGGGAAAGGTCGGCTTTGCTGGCAGGATCAACAGGGGAACATAAAGGCAAAAAACTAACGCGGGCACCACGGGGGAGGCTCCGGAAGGTTGTAGGCGGCTCTGGGAGCTCGGGGTGACTTCAGCCGGATTTGGGTCACTGGGACAATATGAGATCCGTATTTTCGGAGGTTGTTGGTGGGACCGGCGGACCTGAGGAGGTCCGATTGTTTGTTTTCCTTTCTGTCTGATCTGTGATTGATTTCTACTGATCATCAATATTCCATGTTCCTTCTCATCACCGAGAATCAATAAATATCACCTGAGAATCATCTCTGTGTCTGTGCGTCACTCTGATCACAATGGGGTCTCCGGACCACCGATGGCCAAAGACTCGGCATAGGGGGACCATAGGGGCTAACTCACAATACATCCTCCCAGAATGCACTGGGGTCTCCGGACCACCGATAGCCAAAGATTCCCCATAGGAGGACCATAGGGAGTCATTCACAATACATCCTCCCAGAGTGCACTGGGGTCTCCGGTCCTCCGATAGCCAAAGACTCATCTTTGGAGGACCATAGGGAGTCATTCACAATACGTCCTCCCAGAATGCACTGGGGTCTCCGGACCACCGATGGCCAAAGACTCCCCATAGGAGGACCATAGGGAGTCATTCACAATACATCCTCCCAGAATGCACTGGGGTCTCCGGACCACCGATGGCCAAAGACTCGGCATAAGAGGACCATAGGGAGTCATTCACAATACCTCCTCCCACAATGCACTGGGGTCTCCGGGACACCGATAGCCAAAGGCTCAGCATAGGATGACCATAGGGAGTCATTCACAATACATCCTCCCAGAATGCACTGTGCTCTCCGGACCTCCGATAGCCAAAGCCTCGGCATAGGAGGACCATAGGGGCTAACTCACAATACATCCTCCCAGAATACACTGGGGTCTCCGGACCACCGATAGCCAAAGGCTCAGCATAGGAGGACCATAGGGAGTCATTCACAATACATCCTCCCAGAATGCACTGGGGTCTCCGGACCACCGATAGCCAAAGACTCGGCATAGGAGGACCATAGGGGCTAACTCACAATACATCCTCCCAGAATACACTGGGGTCTCCGGACCACCGATAGCCAAAGGCTCAGCATA